GAGAGATCTATAGGGGAGAAGTAGTCCAAGTATAAATGAGGTCTTACAGATGTTTCTAAAGCCATTGTAGTAGATGGCACATCTGTGAGAGCTGTGGGAGTGGTCCGACCAATTTTTTCTCTAATAGTTGTGATTTTATTTGTAAAGAAGCTCATGAAGTCATTGCTGCTGAGATCTAAGGGAATGTTAAGCTCAACAGCACTGTGGCTCTTTGTCAGCCTGGCTACAGTGCTGAAAAGAAACCTGGGGTTGTTCTTATTTTCCTCAATCAGTGATGAATAAAATGCGGTTCTGGCACTATGAAGGACTTTCGTATATGTTATTAAACTATCTTTCCAGGCTATGAAAAACTCTGCTGACTTAGTGGAGCGCCACCTCCTTTCCATTTTTCGTGATGCCTGCTTTAGGGAGCGGAGCTGCGAGCTGTATTTACAGTTTGAGAGAAGCCAACTGAGTCTAATAATGAACAGAATGCATTGTTGAGGCTGTCATTGTCAGCATCTACATGAATATTAAAGTCGCCTACTATGATTATTTTATCTGTAAACTGGGATAATAAACTGGGATATTTTCCACTTTCGACTGGGAATGCAGAACTGAGATGTGTCCCAGCTTTTTGTCTGGGATATACAGTCCAAACACATGACAGCTGATGACTGCTTGTCTGTAGTTTGCCTATGTGCTGTACTGCCTTGGCCAGTGTTCACCTGAATTTTGCCCACTAACAAAATCTGCTCCTTCAGGACCTGCTGACCGTTGAGACGGACACAGATGAGGCTTCAGAGGGGGGAGAGGAGCCTGGCGATGTTGGACCAGTCCCCCATGTGCAGTATTCAGAGGGACCACTGAGACACAGCTGGGTAGTGGTGTAAACCCAGGTGACATGGCCTCTTACTCACCCATCCACTATCCTCACACACCACCCGAAATGCTCCTAAGAATAAATATCAACAAAAAAATCCCCTTGCATCCTTATTTCCTCAGTTTAAAGGTCTAATTATCAGCTTCCTCGCAAGCGCAGTTACAGGTCATGCAACCTGTGAATGTAAACATTACAGCCTTCGCTGCCTTCTTCTGCAAGGTGTGAATAGTTACAACTGGATCTTGACTCAGAATATGCATGTAAACCAAACAGCAGTTTGGGAATTACTGTAGAACCTTTTTATCCCCTCACCTTGATGCCTCTGTTTGCTGCGAGAACAACATCAGAGTAACCACAACTGCACGTATGTTGAGAGAGATCATTAAGGAGCACAGCACCTGCAGGGCTAAGTGTTTGGGAGGTACGGTCACAGACTGCAATGCATCTGTCTTTTCTCAGCATTGGGGACATTTGGAATGATGCTGCTGTAAAGATGGTCATGTATCATGCATTATATTCCAAAGAGCAGCGACCAAGTCGAGTATATGTAGGTGCAGTATATGTAAGTGCTCAAAGTTTATTCCATCAAATATAATCATGTCAAATTTACCTTTTTAATTCAGGTACAATACTATTTCTTCCTGCATGTTCTCCCTCTGGCTCCTTGTTTTATGGTAGAAGAATGATAGATGATGACATGTTACCCCTTTACAACAGGCTACTTTTAAAGAAATGTGGGTGGGAAACTGTTTCATGTTGTGGTTGAAAAGGACCAGGTCACAAAGTGATTTGCATAATATATGAAGTGAAATATTAGTGCCACTGCTGTGGGAAAGACGACGATTTTTAGACAAATGTTGTACCTTTCTTGATAAGAATGTGTAAGTGTGATGAGAAAATGGTCACAGTATTACAAAAATCAAGTTATAATTTATGCTAGGAGTAAGATGACAAGTTTTCTGCCACTCATATGTCTACTATAAATGGGGGGGGCTAGCCTGGCTCTGTGTAGGACCTCTACAACTAACTAAAAGTATAAATGACATGTTTTGGTTTCACTGGAGGTTACATGCACATATATGAGAGTTTGGCATGGGAGCAGTGACTTCTTGAACTTACCACCTTTAAGCAAAGCCAGGCTAGCAGTTTCCAGTCGTTCTGCTATGCTAAGCTAAGCGTCTCCTGGCTGGTGTTAGACTGAGTGTACAAACATGAAGGTGGTATCAAGCTTCTCAGCAAAAGGTGAGTGCTAGTCCCAAAATGTGAAACTGTACCTTTTCCTGTGTTAAGGGCTGCCACTTTGATAGTAAAATTGAACATTAGCACTTTGTCAAAATGTTACAACTCTGTTGTCCTTTTTCGCCCCCTAAGAGTGGCCCTGTACTCTGCTGCTGTAATACCCTCAGTGGGACGATACAGTAGCACTGTAAGAAACTTTTCCAACTTGTGGGACCTTCCTATGATTTGTTCAGTTCATTTTTATAGTATGTATTTGACTGTACATATTGTGGTCCAATCTGTGGTAATAATATTGATACAGGAATTTGTTTTTTCTTTTTTTTGTTTTTGTGAATAATGGAAATGGGAAACTTCAGTATGAATTAAGTGGGTGCATAAAATACATTTGCTATTTATCACCAAAACATTTCCATGGGCTTGTTTACACCCATGGTTTAAAATCCGGTTTATAATTTGACACATTCCGTCTTTAATGTTTAATTTTGTACTCCAACAGTATCTTGTGTGTTTTTATACCTGGAGCAGCACGTCAGCGGGACATCAACCGCCGCCGTGCTTCTTACGAATGTGTCTCTTTAATCTGATGATGAATAAAGATGGCTGACACATGGACCAGTGTTTGGTGTCCAATTCCTGCGGTGGCTGCGAGGCAGTGTGATGACAGACAACCCCAGTGGGACCAGGACAGAGCACACCTGTGTGGGTGGAGCCAGCGGGCCTCTGACCCCCAGCTGATGACAGGGAGAGCTTGTAGTGGTGTGTCAGGTGTGCATGTAGTCATTGTCTCTAGGACAACGGGTCTGTTACTGGGGTTGGTCTCTGGGGTAACCAGGTGTGACGATCAGCTGGAGGTGGACATGTTTAAAACATGTTGACATTCATATTACAGTAGGTGTGTGTAAAAATAATCATTTTAAAAAGGACTTCCAAATGTCCTGGTTGATACTTCACTGTCTTATGGTGCCTCTGGATTCTAACCTCTGTGAAGAGATGTTGAGTCACATACTGGATTTTAATAATATACATTATATTATAACATAAAATTTCTATTAGAAATAATACAAAATATTCAAGAGAGAAACCTGAAGGTAAAAAGAAGCCTGAAATGTGAGGTTTAAGCATTGTGAATCCTGTAGGTCTGTTAGAATGTGATAATTATGGCTAAAATGAAAA